TCAATTTCCTCCATAGTTACCGGCCTATTCAAGATTTTTTTATTCTTCCTGATTGAGTTTTGGAAGATTGTATTTTTCTAGGAATATGTGCATTCCTTCTACATTGTCCAGTTTGTTGGAATAGAGTTGTTCATAGTATTTTTTTATAATCCTTTGTATTTCTGTGGGGTCTGTTATTTCGCCTCTTTCATTTCTGATTTTGTTAATTTGGGTCCTCTCTCTTTGCTTCTTGGTGAGCCTCGCTAGAGGTTCATTAATCTTGTTTTGTTTTTTTTTTAAAGAACCAGCTCTTGGTCTCATTGATCTTTTGTATTGTTTGTTTTTATTTTTATCTCTGTGTCATTTATTTCTGCTCTGATCTTTATTATCTCCTTTCTTCTGCTCACTCTGGGCTTTTCTGGTTGCACTCTTTCTAATTCTTTAAGTTGTAGTGTTAGATAAGTTACTAGAGGCCTGGTACACAAATTCGTGCATGGGGGGATTCCCTCGGGGTGGCCTGTGGGGATCAGGCCCCAGCTTGCACCCGCAGGCTCACGGCCCCAATTCATGCACCCAGCTTCGCAGCCCCGCATCCCCACCTGGCATCTTGCTATTCCCTGACACTGCCCCTCACCTGCTCCACCATTCCACCTGCGGGGTGATAGATTGGGGCCAGGCCCACCCCAGTGCCTGTGCGAGAGGCGGCAGCCCCGCCCCCTGCCGTTGGTTACCGTCTGCGGGGCGATCAGTCTGGGCCGGGCCCCCTGCAGCTGCTGCTGGTCGCCGTCTGCAGGGCCATCAGTAGGGCAATTGGGTGCCTGCTCGCTCTTGTTGGGGCCTATCAGGCCAACAGCGCCTCCACTGCTGCTGGCTGTCAGTGCCACCATGTTCCGCGCCACCCCCTAGTGGTGAACGCACATCATAGTGAGCAAACTCCCGGTTGAACTCCCTGTGGAACAATTTGCATATTAGGTTTTTATTATATAGGATTACCAGTGTTTCTTGTTTTTTGAGGTAGACCAGTAATGCTATGAACTTCCCTCTCAGGACTACTTTCATTGTGTCCCATAGATTTTGGATTGTTGTGTTTTCATTGTCATTTGTTTCCAGGACGGTTTTATTTCTTCTTTGATCTCTTTGGTAACCCACTCATTGTTTAATAGACTATTAAGCAGCTTCCAAGTGTTTGAATTTTTTTTTTATTGTTATTGTAGTTGATTTCTAATATGCCATTGTGGTCTGAGAAGATGCTTGATATGATTTCAATCTTCTTGAATTTAGATGGGCTTTGCCTGTGACCCAATATGTGGTCTATCTTTGAAAATGTCCCATGTGCACTTAAGAAGAATGTATATTCTGTAGCTTTGGGGTGAAATGTTTTGAAGATGTCAATTTAGTCAATTTGATCTGGCAAGTCAGTTAGGATTGCTATTTCTTTGTTGATTTTTTGTCTAGAGGATTTATCCAGTGATATCAGTGGGATATTAAAGTCCCCTATTATGATTGTATTGTTGTCCGTCTCTCCCTTGATATCTTCCAGAAGTTTGTTTGTTTTGTTTTGTTTTAAATGTATTTGGGTGCTCCTGCATTGGGTGCATATATGGTTACCAGAGTTATATCCTGTTGTATCGATCCCTTTAGAATTGTGAACTGGCCTTCCTTATTCTTGTTATGGCCTTCATTTTGAGGTCTATTTTGTCAGGTATAAGTATTGTTACCCCAGCTTTTTTTTTTTCATTTCCATTAAAGATAATTTTCCATCCCTTAACTTTCAGTCCGTGTGAGTCCCTTGTTTTGAGGTGGGTCTCTTGTAGACAGCATATATATGGGTCATGTTTTCTTATCCATTCAGCCACTCTGTGTCTTTTGATTGGAGCATTTAGTCCATTTACATTTAAGGTTATTATTGATAGGTTCTTGTTTGTAGCCATTTTTATTTTTTGTGGTGTTCCTTCTTCTTCTCTTTCTATTTCTTCTTTTTACAACAGTCCCTTTAGCATTTCTTGCATTGCTGGCTTGATAGTGATATAGCTGGCTTGGTGGTGATAAACTCCCTTAGCCTTTTTTTGTCTGTGAAGCTCCTGATTTCTTCTTCAATTTTGAATGATAGCCTTACTGGATAGAGTATTCTTGGATTCAGTCCCTTCCTTTGCATCACTTTTTATACTGCCTTCCATTCCTTTCTGGCCTGATGTGTTTCTGTTGATAAATCATTTGATAATCTAATGGGGGGTCCCTTGTAGGTAACTCTCTGTCTCTCTCTCTTGCAGCCTTTAAGATTCCCTCTTTGTCATTAACGTTTGCCATTGTAATTAGGACATGTCTTGGTGTGGGTCTTTTGGGTTCATCTTGTTTGTGACTCTCTGTGCTTGTGTGATGTTTTTCTTCCAAAATCAGGGAAGTTTTCTGACATTATTTCTTCAAATAGGTTTTCTAATCCTTCCTGCTCTTCTTGTCATTCTGGCATCCCTAATATACGTATGTTGCTTCATTTCATGTTGTCCCAAAGCTCCCTTAGGCTCTCCTCATGCTTTCTAATTTTTTTTCCAATTGCTGTTCAGATTGTGTGTGTTTTCTGCCCTGTCTTCTAATTTGCTAATTCGGTCTTCCACTTCTTCTAGTCCACTGTTGAAACATTCCATAGTGTTTTTTTTTAATATATTGTATTGATTTTTTAAGGGGGGAAGGGAGAGGGATAGAGAGTTAGAAACATCGATGAGAGAGAAACATTGATCAGCTGCCTCCTACACACTCCCTGTCGGGTATGTGCCCACAAGCAGGGTATAGGCCCTTGACCGGGATTGAACCTGGGACCCTTGAGTCCGCAGGCCGACACTCTATTCACTGAGCCAAACCGGCTAGGGCTCCATAGTGTTTTTTATTGTAGCTATATCACTCTTTATTTCCTCTTGATGATTCTTACATAAGTTGTTGATTTTCTTATCCAAACGATTTAGAAACTGTACGACCCCATGCCCTGACCGGTTTGGCTCAGTGGATAGATAGTCGGCCTGCAGACTGAAGGGTCCCAGGTTCGATTCCGGTCAAAGGCATGTACCTTGGTTGCGGGCACATCCCCAGTAGGAGGTGTGCAGGAGACGGCTGATCGATGTTTCTCTCTCATCAATGTTTCTAACTCTCCATCCCTCTCCCTTCCTCTCTGTAAAAAAAAAAAATCAATAAAATATATATATAAAAAAAAGAAACTGTATGACCCTTACTCTGAATTCTTTTTCTGACATGTTCATGCCTCTGTTTCCTTTAGTACCTTTCCTGGTGACTTCTTTTCTTAACTTTGTGGTTTTTTACTTTGTCTCCCCATTTTTGCTCTTACCAAAGGATCTAGACCAGTGGTTCTCAACCTTCCTAATGTCGCAACCCTTTAATACAGTTCCTCATGTTGTGGTGACCCCCAACTTCATTGTTACAAATTGAACATAATTAAAGCATAGTGATTAATCACAAAAACAATATGTAATTATATATGTGTTTTCCAATGGTCTTAGGCGACCTCTGTGAAAGGGTCATTTGACCCCCAAAGGGGTTGACCCATAGGTTGAGAACCGCTGATCTAGACCTTGAGTCACGTGGGGCCTGTGGCTGCTGTGGCGGGCTTGGTGGCAGGTTGTGTGGTCACAGGGTCCTAGTTTGAAGTGGCAGGCCCAGCAGTGGCTCCCGCGGTTGTGGCGCCCAGGTTTTCAGGACTTCTTAAGGACATTGAAGCAGGGATTGAGGTAGAATGTGGGGCAGTTATAATGTTGACATTATGATCATGAGATTTGCTTAGTTGTATATCTGTTTTTCTCTTTTTTTGTGAGGTGGTTAGAGGGACTACTGATTTATATTAGACCCTTAGTAAACACTGAAAGTTTTCGGTCTTGATTGAAGAATAAAATTAGTCTACATCAGCCATAATCACAGAATGAAATAGGAATTACATATCCTATTTAAATTCTCTGTAGCATTTATGAGTGCCACCCAAACTTTTTATAAAATTTCCTGTTGATCTCTTGACATTACACTCAATTGGTTCTCTTCCTGTGTTTTTCATTATTTCTTAACCTCTGGGTTCCCCTGGCACTCTGTGCATACACCTATCTTAAAATGTATATCATATTGAAATTCGTTATTCATATGCCAGTTTTGCATCTAGACAGTGAATTTTTTAAGAACAAAAATTGGGTCTCATTCTTCTTATAACTCTAGTGCCTAACACTGCAATAGAGTCCTGTTAAACTAAACTGTTAAATGTGGAAAAGAAAAGTGATACTATTTGCTTTTGTGTAGACTTGTTAAAAGAGGAAAGCAAGAGTCCCACATTTCTGGTGTCCCTCCATTCTGCTACTGCTGTCAAAGTAATTGTAAAGTGGAGCTTTATTGTTTTGTAGCTCAAAGACTTAGTTCACTAACCATTTCCTATTGAATAAACTTCATATTTCTTAGCTCTCTGTCAAATTCCTCCCGGTGCATCTTAACTGAACTTTCTATTCTTCTTCATGAATACTTTTCATATTTATATGCTTTTGCTGGTATTGTATCTTCTTTGTGGCTTCCACCCAATCTTGAGATGTCCATATAGATGCTGCTTCCTTCATGAAGCTTTCAGTCATCTCCCTGCCCTCTCCAGCCTCTACCAAAAAAATCATTTCCCCATCTGAACTCTTAATTAGACTTTGACTGTAGTATAGCATTATTTTTGTACCTTATTAAGTCATAAGTTCCTTAAGAGCAAGGTTCTTGCCTTTGTTTTCTCTGCTATTTTGCATTAATAATTGAATTGAGTATAAATTAACTTTTTAAAATTTTTTAGCCTTAAGGAAACTATTCAGAGGACTATCTTGTTAAAAATTCTTCCTCTGCATTGATCTACAAGTAAATGCACTTAATCCAGAGAGTGTATAGGTTTAAATAATGTATTTATTCCTGCAACCTCAGTTTAGGAAATAACTTTTGTTCCAGATTTACATTTATTTAAAATATATTTACTATTCTTTGTATTGACTCTCCTTCTCCTTTTCTAGGGCACTGTCTTTAATCTTGAGTCCGAGGAGGAGGAATACCCTGAAGTTGTTGCAGAAGATAGCAATGACATTTATATCCTGCCCAGTGACAACTCTGGACAAGTCAGTCCTCCAGAGTCTCCAATTGTGACTACTTCTTGGCAGTCAGAGAGCTTACCTATTTCCCTGTCAGCCAGCCAGAGTTGGCATACAGAAAGCCTACCAGTGTCCCTGGGTCCTGAGTCCTGGCAGCAGATCACAATGGATCCCGAAGTAAAAAGCTTAGATAGCAATGGGGCTGGAGAGAAGAGTGAGAACAATTCCTCTAATTCTGACATTGTGCATGTTGAGAAAGAAGAAATACCTGAGGGTGCGGAAGAGGCTGCTGTGGCATCTGTAGTCTTGTCAACCAGGGAGGTGCAAGAGGCATTCCCTGAAGCCCCAGCTCCCTTGCTTCCACATATCACTGCCACTTCCTTGCTGGGCATGAGAGAATCTGACACAGAAATGACTGCAGTTGAGAAAGTCAGCCCAGCTACATCATTGTTTGTAGAGCTTGATGAAGAAGAGATGAAAGCAGCTATAATTGAACCTATTGAACGAGAGGAGATGATCCCTATACTGGAACCCACAAAAACACTGTTGAGTGAAGAGATGACTATAAGGAAAAAGAGTCTTATGGAAGGGTCCTACCCTGCTGGAGAAGAGAAGTCTATGGCATTGTCTGAGGGCAAGTCTATACTATTGTTTGGAGGGGCTGCCGCTTTTGCTATCCTGGCAGTGGCAATTGGAGTAGCATTGGCTCTGAGAAAGAAATAGCATTTTTTAGAAGAGAAATAAGACAAAAAGAATATTAGGTTTTAGTTGTATTGACTGAATTTGAACTGCCAGCAGCTGATTGGACATTTGTGGAACACTCTTGGATAATTGAAGATTTCTGGCTTGAGGTAGAGGGTGTTCATGTTTGTCTGACTGTAAGTTCCAAAACCCTTGGCTCATGGTAGATTCTGAAGAATCTTAAGAGAAGCTTAAGAGTGAAGTACTCCCTCTGGTACAGGTTTCTCAATCTCTGCATTAATTATATCTTGAAAATTCTTTGTTGTAGGAAGTTGTCCTGCGCATTGTGTTTAGCAACATCCCTGGCCTGTACCCACTAAATACCGGTAGCACCCCTCCCCCAGTTGTTACAACCAAAAATATCTCCTGACATTGCCTGGGAGTAAAATGTCCCTGGAAGTAAAATTATTCCCCTTTACGGGCCACAGCTTTAGAGGGAGATGGTTAATTTAGGAGCATCTGTGATACAAGTTCCCAGGCAAGAGGGCTTAGCTGTGTGCTCCTCAGCTACTGACTCAGTCCTGCCCTTGAAATTTCATCTTTTCTGGTGAACATACTGTGTTTGCAGTCATTCCTTTTTGGCTTTTCTTTTCTTCCCCACCTTTTTAGTCCTATAGTGTGAGGGTATTCTCCTCTTTTGTCACAGCTGCTTCTCAGGTACCACACTCCTCTTCTTCACCCCCAGGTTTCTCCTAAGATCCATGGAGCATGCTTGCTCTGTACCTATCAAGTCTCTGATGCTTCTTATAGCTTCACCTTGTAAAGATACTGCCTTTTGTAGTCTTTAAAAAGGAGTGGGTGGGCTCCCTACCTATAAGTGCTATGACAACTGACAAGAGAGAGATCTGTCTCATTTAGAAGCAGGAAAATGGCTTAAATGACCTCTGGAGCTCTTTCGGCTCTTTTGTGTATAGCCACCCTACTGAATTTATGGCTACTTGCCAGCAGCATCTCCCTTGCAGGATGGTCACTGTCTATAACCTGGGCTTGTGCGTTTTTCCCTATACTATCTGGCCTCAGTGTTACTGGTCGACCATCTAGCTCCTTTGCAGTCCTTTACTGCGTTTTTATACTCAGCTTACAGACCAATTGAATTATAACTCTTATGAAATACAGAAAGTCTCCTAAATATCATTGAAATAAAAAGTATGAAAAGAGAAGCTTGACTTTCTTGGTTACCCTCCAGTTCTAGTTTGGCTTTCAGGCTTCTTCACTGAAATCTTCACAGTCCAAATGCCAGTGTGATAAACCAAAATGATCCTATTAGTATGTACTAGTTGAGAATCAGCATAATTTTCTTTCATCTGGCTGATCCCACCTCTAGAAGGATGGGAAGTGTCATTTTATGCCTGAGGATCACGGTGTCACTATGCAGGACATACTTGCTTGATACAGGTCATTTCAGATTTATCTTAGTAAATGTAACAAATTATTTTTTAGATCCTAAAATTTGTAGTAAAATTACTTTACCTTATCATGATCACCAAAATGTGAAGTTTTAAATGTGCTTTCTTTTTGAAATATATTTTAAAAAATTAAATCTTCTCCCTAAAGCAACACTATTTAAAATTTGGTCAAGAAAAGTTCTGAAGTGTGTTTGTGTGCCACTTCAGCTTTATCATGGGGTGTATCTTTATGTTCTGAGTTTTAGTGTCCCATTTAGGGAGTGATGTTTTTGAGGGTTTTGATGCACCTTGATTAAAATAGCTAGGGGTGAGGGGGAAAAATGGGATTAGTGTAGTACAGAATTATTTCCTTCTTGGGCTCTGACTGTTGCAGTGGATTACTCTATGTTCTAATTGCTACATTTGTGTTTGCATAGGGTAAGAGCAAACTGGTGTGTTATCTTGATTCCCCACCCTCCTTCCTATATAATAAAAGAACATTATGGAAACTGACCAAACGACTGAACGACCAGAATGCCCGCGGCCCCTCGCCCCGGCCAGCCCCACCCCCAATTGGCCCCCACCCCAGCTGGACCGCCTCCCATGGCCCCCATGGGGGTGGGCCGGCTGGACCCCACCAGTGCACGAATTTGTGCACCGGGCCTCTATTTCATAATAAAATATTTTCCTTCCAGTGTTCACACTTTTAAGCTCTGTATCCTCAAACCCATTGGCTAAACACATTTAAGCACTAATATAAACCAGGTTCATTTCTGAGCTGCTAGAGAGATATGTGGCTTAGGATATTTGGGTCTGTGTTCTCCATTAAAGAAAAGAGTAAGACATGTGATACGATGCTACCATTGCTGCTTTATTTTCCCGTTTCTTGAACATTAACCCAAAGTTATTTGGCCAATTGCATTTTGCTGTGTAATGGTAAATAGCTATTCTTTTCCATTGGCTTTCTCTAGATTGAATTGTTGAAAATTCCTGAGTTGTTAATAGGATGGTCAGTGTCCATGTTTTTTCTTCATCTCCTTATCCTCTGCCTCTGGCAGTGGAAGGGAACACACTAATAAGGACTGCTTCTTACAGCAGCTCCTGTTTTTGCTATTACATTTAAAAGGAAATCATTTGTTACCCACCCTTTTTTTATGGGGGCTGGTAGTAGGAGGCTATTCCTTTCTGTCCTGACTTACAGAGCATCTAAATCTAAGAAAAAGGGACAATTCACAATAAATTCAACTCAAATGCAGAATTAAGAATATCACCCTGTTTATCATTTCTCATTCTTTGAACTATTGAGGAAAAGTTTTTGTTAGTAAGTCGTCTAGTACTCTTCTTAACTGTTCTATTAAATATAATGATTTCTGATCACTTGGCAAAAAGCTAGTGAATGTTTCTTGAGAAAAATACTAGAATTAAAGGATGCTTATTTATCTTCTCCGTAATAAAATTATCATTCTGAGCCCAAAGAAATCCATTTCTACAGTGTGCCTTAGGGGGACTCTCATGATCATCCTTGCCCTCTAGAAAGAAAGCTTTCTAGGTGAAGAAAAACAACCGTTGACCATCTGGTTCACACATTCACCACCCAAAGTCATCCTTGATACCTCCTCTCACCTGTGTCCATCTCTTGTATTAAATGCAGCTACTACTGCCCAGGTTTGTACTGGAGGAATAAACAGCGAACACAGAGACATGGTTTTTGGAACCACAGCTACCATTAATTTCCTCAGCCTCTGCTGATTCTCTCTAGTAATATAAAAGTGATGCCTGCTCTCTTGCTTTTTTTCTAAAAGTATGGCATGTGGACAAGTGTCATACCCATAGAATTTTTAAATTATTTTAAGAGATGTTTTATAGAAATAAAAATATATTACAGTTAAGAAAAATTTTCCCTTTTCTCTTAATTTTTAATGTCTTTTTACACAAATTTATCTTTCAAAAAATTTGAGGTGATGATATTTATATCAGGAGGGCTGGTCCTCCTGATGAAATATCACTGTCTGCTCACTTTATAGAAACAGCTTCTAGCCTCTGAACCAATACCCTCACAAGCATTATTTCATTTAAAATCTCAGCAACACACTTGATGCCCGAAAGTTGCCTCTTCCGTGGAGGACCAAGATGTGCCATTAGTGATAATCTCCTATTATAACTGAGAGGGTTCAACCGTGACATGGGTTTGAACTCAGGGTGCATCTTTTTCCATATTAGAATATCCTTTTTCTAAAAAGAAGTGTTGGTAATTATAATTTCAGCAAATATTAGTTGAGCATTTACTAACTTTACTAGTGTTCTAGCATATGAGAGGCAATGATTGGAATTTTTCTGACTCCAAGTCTAGTGCTTTTTCCAGTTTTTACCATTTTTTTGTGACCCTGCAAAACAGCATTGGCAGGCTCTCTTCTCTGCACACGGCTGTGCCAATTGTCTGCTGCACAAGAGCAGCCTATGCTCACCATATTGTGTGCCCTAATTAGTAAATATCGAGCACATTGTCCCAGACAAACGAGATGTCCAGGATTATTCCCAATTTCGAATTATACCGAATGTTTTGCCTCTAAATGTTGAATGAGATGCCTTATAAAGAATTAGCAGTTATCATTAGCTTTCTTATTTAATGTGTTAGATAAACATTTCTTGTAAACAAGGGTAAGGCAATCTGACACAGGAATCATCACTGAATGATTTGAAGGTAGCACCACGACTCTTTCTCTTCCCTTTTTCCTAGTTTGTTCCTTTTTGTTCTGTTTCCCCTGCCTGTGCTATGGGTGATGGAGGGAAGTGGAGGCAAACTCTAGGTATTGCTAGACTTTTCAACACTCATTCAAGAGGGTTAAGCAGACACAGCCAGAGGCCTATCTTGCTCAGAAGCTGGCAGTAGGTGACTCCCAGTGCAAACCTTCCATTCATTCCACAGTACACTGGGGAATGTAAAGTTAATTGTAGCCTTGCCTATAGAATACCGATTTAAATTCAGTCACTATTTAGTTACTTCAACTATAGCCCTCCATGGAGAGTTAGAAACTGTCGTTACTATAATATTAATATATCCTGTCTTTTTTCTTTACACAAAACTAACCTCTACCTAGCTTGTCACCAGGGTCCTCCACCTGTGAACTATGTTTACACTACAAGAGCCCTAGCCAAGCAGCTTTATGCTCAGGCTGGAATTGTTCTCAGGTATATTTGCAAGGCCTTTAATCAGTTAGCTGCTGGCTCAAGGTGATTCTTGCCCTATTCTCACCTATCCTGAGGGGACATTTTATAGTGGTATTGCCCACATGGGTGTGTTCTTTGCACCCATTAGAAGAAACTGGCTTACTAATGTACTATTTACTAGTAGAACAACGTTTTGATATTTTAAGATTAGCTTGTTGCCTCCTTTCCCAGGAAAAAAGGAAGCTCAAGTACAATCTTTTCTGTTAAAGAGTCTGGAATAACTTGGTTATTCCTGATGATTCTAGTATTATAATATAGATGGACCCTTACAAAAAGGAATTTATTTTTTTCTTATCAGTCTTCCATTTCTTTCTTCCTTTAGATTAAAAGTGCCTCTTTCTACATACTTCATTCTTTGACTGGAGTTATTGGTTCTAATGCTCTCATCTCACAGCTATTGGATTTAAATAGTAATGTTTGGTAATTAATGTAAGCATTTCACATAATCAGCAGAGTCCTTTTTCTATATAAAGTTCATTAGCTCTTGCTACAGCTGATTTGCTCAATTTATTTTTATGGGTTCATTCTGGCTCCTTTTCCCACCTGTTATCTGCATTTGGCCAATCAGGGGACAGGACAAAATCTAAATCTGATATTTGCTGTTGTAAGTGCTGCATTGGGTAGAACACATTGGAGGTTGTAATAAAATGAGATCTGAAGATAATTGATGGACTCAACTTTCTATTCATATAACCTAAATTAATGTCCTTTACTTAGGAGGAATCATTTCAGATAATGTCTTGTAGCCTTCCTAAGTAGATAATTGGTTTGACTCAGGTTCTGAAAACATGATCATAACAAAGGACACTCCATATTTAAGTTACCGGTAAACACAGTTAATGAAATTGTTGGAAAATAATCGAGTGTGGCTCAGTGGTTGAGCGTTGACCTACGAACCAGGAGATTGTGGTTTGATTCCCAGTCAGTGCATGCTGGGTTGTGGGCTCGATCCCCAGTGTGGGGCGTGCAGGAGGCAATCAATGATTCTCTCTCATCATTGATGTTTCTAGCTCGCTCTATCTCTCTTAAATCAATAAATACATTTTTTAAAAATAAGGGTATGCACTGCCCTTAAGGCAGCCCTGCACATCTCAGCAGTTAATGTTGGATCCTGAGAGGTGAGGTCATCAGGGATGATTTAACCTGAATACACCAAACATTCCACCTGACTTTCAGATATGCCAAGTATCTTTTGGAGAAGAAGGCCCTTTTATCTTTGACCAAGGAATATCCTTCACTTAGATTCAATTATATATATAAAACAGGATGAAATACATTCCTTGAAACAAAGTCACTTCTCAGTTCTATCCACAAGAATTATGTTACCAGTGTACAATCCACCAACTTCCAGTGTGCCCCTGAGTCATGACTGGGATGTGTACAAGATGGAACACATGATACAGTAGAATCTTTTCAGGGGGAGACAAGGTGATAATCTTGCTTTATAAGTAAGAAGGTATATCTGACTTGGTCTGGAAAAATTTACACCAAATAGTGAATGTATTAATTTAAGCAAAACAGAAAGAAGCTGTGAAAGATTAAAAGTATTAGTATGGGATTATTTGCTATTTTGGAGCTCTTTTACATTTGTTTAGTCAACTACTTGTATTTAAATTGCTCTTTCTGGAAGAAAATATCTCCCCCCAGTGAGAATCTGATTGTATGGATGAGAGTGTATGTATGTATACGTGTGATTCAACATGGTTCTACTGGGATATGTATCCTTTGGGGGAAAAAGTCCATTCCAAAACATACATAATGATAGCATTACTGGAAAATGTTTTCCAAATGATGGCATTCATCCTGCATGACAACATATATTTGCTTTCAATATTTGCAACATATTGCAGATATCAGATTGAGCCCCAACTCTAGTGTGTTAAGTATTTAATGCTAAGTGATACAGTCATTTTTTTTCTTTTCTGATTTAAATACTCAAGGAACAGAAAAATGGTAACAAGGAAATATATATAAGTACTTAATTATTCTTATTCAAATGCTTCTCCAGAGTGTCATGTTCACAGTAACAAGAGTATTAGTATAGAGTAAAAGTAATGTGTGTGACATGGACCCAACATCCACCATCATACGTGCAAATGGAACCTTAGGAAACAATCATTGCTTGGAACCAGACACCTCAGCACCATTTCTAAATGTATGCGCTCCCTGGTTTATTTGGGCATGACCTAAGAAATTTGGTTTTGTTATTACTTGTATTCTAACTGTATCCCTAGAAAAGGCAACTACTCAAATGTTGAATTTTTAAGTCTGGTTTTTCATTTTTAAAAAAATATATTTTTATTGATTTCAGAGAGAAAGTGAGAGGGAGAGAGAGAGATAGAAACATCAATGATGAGAGAGAATCGTCGATTGGCTGCCTTCTTGCACACCCTACACTTGGGATCGAGCTTTCAACATGGGCATGTGCCCTGACCAGGAATCGAATTATGACCTCCTGGTTCATGGGTTGATGCTCAACCACTGAGCCATGCTGACCAGGCTGTTTTTTATGCCTAGAAAAACCTGTTCTCTCCTGACACAACCTCTTAGGCTTGAACTGGGGGCTATGGCTGGAAAATGAAAATACAAGATTATTAGCAGACAGTCCTCACAGAATGTATGCTGTAGTTTCTGGTACTCCACCTTGACTTCTTGGAAAAAGAAAACGTGCCTTTAGTTACCCGGTTTTGGAAACTTGGTGACACTGGCCCTTAAATCACCTCCACACCTTTTACTTGCTTATGGTTTTTCTTGACTCTTAATAAAAGGGTATCAAGTTGAAAAAAGTCCAACATGCCCTGAATCCAGAATCTCCTGTGCTGTCTGGTTTTTAAACCAGAAGACTATTCTTTAGTAGTATTAAGATGTCCCTGTTCTGCGAGGAATTTTTCTTTGTAAGGGATATGTGCATTCCTCCTCTGGTCCTTGTTCCCCTCACACAACACTGCTATAAGACTATGCTCTGAGGTTGCACTTTAATAAACAGTATATGGTTTTTTAACAAAAAACATTGTGTTTTTTTTGTTCTGCCTTATAGTCTGTTTTTAACTTTAATGTTCAAGTGAAATAAGTCTACAATGTGTAGACTTAAAAGATGAGATCAAGCTTGTTCAAATATGTCCAACTTGACATTTTTATTCAAGTACGTTACTGTAGAAATTTCTAAATGGGTCATGGGCCTAAAACATCACCGTTAAAAATAGTGAGAAATAAATAACTGTTATCTTGTGCCTGTCTTTTCTAAGAACTCTAAGTGGTCACGACTCCATCTCCACCAGAGGCAGCTAACTGCTGTCCTGTATCAAGTTTTAACCCAGCGGTTCTCAACCTGTGGGTCGCGACCCCTTTGGCAGTCGAACGACCCTTTCACAGGGGTCGCCTAAGACCATCAGAAAACACATATATAATTAAATTACGATTCATAACAGTAGCAAAATTACAGTTATGAAGTAGCAACGAAAATAATTTTATGGTTGGGGGTCACCACAACATGAGGAACTGTATTCAAGAGTCGCGGCATTAGGAAGGTTGAGAACCACTGTAACCAGACACGCTTTGCAGTCATCCATTCAGTCCATCTCCTAGAGCAAGAAAGGAAAAACCAGAATTAGCCAGTATAATTTTTCCCCCACCAATATATTTAGTCATATTTCTAACTTTTTATTTTAAACTGGAGGCTTTTGTGCACTGGGCCTCTAGTATACATATAAGATCTTTGGTTAATCTCTTCCCACCTTCCCTCCTTCCCCCTCCCCTCTGAGATTCATCAGTCTGTTCCATTTTTCCAAGCCTGTGGTTTCCGCTCCTGCATTGAGTGTCTGCCCCCTGGTGGTCAGTGCACGTCATAGCGACTGGTTAGGCTTTCATGTATATATATATATATATATAGTTCTTCTTTATGACTTCCTATTTACTGTTTCTCCCTCTTTTCTAACTTGTAATGAATGACCAGGCTTTCATTTTCTTTCCTTCTAACAGCAGGGACACTTTTTCTGTTATGGCCCAGATAATATTTTAGGCTCTGTAGGCCACTCAGTCTTGGCCATATGGTCACAATGGCTCCATTATGATGTTACAGTGTGGAAGCAGCCAGAGAAAATACACAAAAGAATGAGCATGGCTATCTACACTAATAAAAGAGAAACATGCAAATTGACAGTCCCTCCGCTATGCCCACCAGCCCATCAGAGTGATAGGCAAATTAACCCAACAAAGATGGCGGTTAATTTGCATACACAGGCACGGAGCAAAGACTGAAGACAGCGTAGAAGGAAGCCAAGCGCTGCAGAAGGGAGCGAAGTGGCGGAGAAGGGAACGGAGCTGAGGCAGCAGACTCGGGAGGGAGCGAAGCAGCGGACAAGGGAGGAAGCAAGGCAGCAGAGACGGGATGGGGCGAGGCGGCGGAGACGGGATGGGGCGAAGCGGCAGACATGGGAGGGAGCGAAGCGGCGAACATGGGAGGAAGCTGAGGCAACAGAGAAGGGAGGGAGCTGAGGCAGCGGAGAAGGGAAGGAGACGGGAGGGAGCGAGGCGGCGGAGACTGGAGGGGCGAGGCGGCAGGCTTCGCTCCCTTCTCTGCTTCCCTCCGGCCTCAGGAAGCCCTATTCTTGCAGGAATCTTCCTGCAACGGGCCTCTAGTGTTACAATAAAACTTTGTTTACAAAAACAAGCAGCAGGCCAGATTTGGCATATGGCCATAATTTACCAATCTCTGTAAATGATTAGAAGTTCTACATCCTTCATTTTTACCAAATGTACATTGCATTTATTGAATGTACATTCAACTTCTATGTTAGGTAATCTAAATATGACTTAAACAAGATTTGTTTATTTCTCTAATTATATGTCAGCAGTCAGCACTGCAGTCTTGGGAGCCAGGAGCCTATCTTACTGGTCCTTGTCACTAAGATAAAGCCCTCACCTGTACCCAATCCTCATGCACACTTCAACCCGTGGACAGGGGAAGGGGGAAGTAGAGGGCAGACCCCTTCTCTTCAGGGACACAGTACAGAAATGTATATATCACTTCTGCCTGCATCCCTTTAATCAAAAGTCACAGGTCACACCTGGCTTACAAGGGAACCTGGGATATGTAGACCAACAGGACCCAGTTATAAATCCTATAACTACAGAAGATAGGGAGTACAGATATTGGGGGCATCTAGCAGTCTCTGCCAAACTTTTGAGTTTCTTATTTGCTTCAAGGAGTAATTAGAATCTATAACCCCTCACCCAACCAACATCAAACCTTTAGTATGTATTTATTTAGCATGTCTAAAATACAGTTTCTACTACTATCATCTCCATAGATTTGGGTTCTTTAACTCCCATGTGAGTTTTTTAGTGCTCCACACCTATAATTTAATAGATGTTACTCTTTATTGATGATCATTTTCTAAAGCAGGGGTCCTCAAACTACGGCCCGCGGGCCACATGCAAATACAAATATTGTATTTGTTCCCGTTTTGTTTTTTTACTTCAAAATAAGATATGTGCAGTGTGCATAGGAATTTGTTCATAGTTTTTTTTTTTAAACTATAGTCCGGCACTCCAACGGTCTGAGGGACAGTGAACTGGCCCCCTGTTTAAAAAGTTTGAGGACCCCTGTTCTAAAGTCTAAATTAGCTGTTCTAATTTACAAACCAGAATTCAGCCCTTAAGAACTCTAATGCCATAAGAAATACAAGTGAAACTGGGGGTTGTGCAGAAACATGTTCTCTGGAGCCCTGTCATCCTTATATCCTTGCATCCTATGTTCTGCTCCATGAGAGCAACTGCAAAAACAGACTTTCAAGGTGCTGAGATGTGGATATTCCCATCTATTGGGTCACTTATGGTTCCAAGAGACACCTTGGGTCCAAGGAATCAAGATTCTGTTTGAGCTGTTCAGTATTTGGTAAGCTGTTAATACAGACTGCTGTTGATGTCTTGCCCATTTACTCCCCTTGGGTGGTTGTTGGTGAACACTGTCCAGGAACTTTCTCAGGTTTACCTGCTTCCAACAATTCAGCATGGTTTAATACCTGATTTGAGATTTATACTCATTCTCCTGTTTCAAAATGCCGGTATAACTAAAGTCCAAAGCAGATAGAGAAAACTTTCAAGGTTTATCACTAATTTGAAGAGGGTTTGGATGCCTGAGTAATGCTTCTGACACATAAAATCCCAAATATTCACTAATATTTTCAAATTTAGAGAAAAGATATATCCATTGAACATCCAGTTGGCTCTATGAAACGGAAGCAGCAGACATTAAGGACTGTCTAGCCTTCTTGGGCAACCTCCTGAAGAACTGTGACTTAATATCCTGGTTATGGACAGATGTTTTCTGGGACAGGTTTTAGATAACCTCTCCTCCCTGCTTTTTGATCTCTCTGTTTGGTCTCTCTCCCCTTCACCTTTCTTAGTAAGCATGTTTTCATTTGTTTTGTAAGCATGTTTTTAAAGAATTTAATTATACTTATTTTTGTGACAAAGTGAAGTTGACAGCAGATCTGGGGATGCTCAGCTTGGATCCCTCAGCCACTTTCTTTCATGCTCTAAGTGTCTATACCACCTATATCACACTATTACAATTCTTTGGACAGTATGAAATAAGCCCTTCCCCACTTACAGTAGCAATCTTAAAAAAAATGAAGCTGCCCAGCCGGCATGGTTCAATGGTTGAGCGTCGACCCATGAACCAGGAGATCACAGTTCGATTCCTGGTCAGGGCACATGCCCAGGTTGCATGCTTGATCCCAAGTGGGGGGCATTCAGGAGGCAGCGGATCAATGATTCTCTCTCCTCATTGATGTTTCCCTCCCTCTCCCTTTCTCTCTGAAATAAATTTAAAAATATATATTTTTTAGAAAATGAAGCTGATAAAGCTCAAAGGTTTTTTTTTCATTGCCACCTCCTACTACATAACGTTCTTGTTCGTGAAAGCAAAACCAAGCCTTTTTGCCTGAACAGGAAGGTTTATAACAGCCTTCTTTGTGGTTTGGTCATCAGAAGCAGAAGAAAGGGAGGAAAGTAGCAGAGGTCTCTGCTGGGTTTCCTGACCTTAAAGGGAAATGGATGTAGGGAGTAGGCAGACACCAAGAGGATTTAATGAAACGCCAAGGAGCTGACATCACTGGTTCTTACATTTCTGACTAAGTTTCTCACATAGGTGAGTAGGTTCTGATTAATAACATTCACTGTTGTGCGAAAGACATCATGGAGCAAGGATGGTGTGTGATCGGCCACCTTTTTGGCCAACAGCATGGTCAACATCAGCATGGTCTTCTCCTTTTCCATGTCTTTAGGATAAGTGTGCATGACCTGCTCCAGGGCAGCAGCAAGGCACTCCCTTCTGTCCTGTATAGAGGTGAAAACAGAAGGCTACGTCACTAATATTCTTCCCTCTTAAATGAAAAGTAGTCCTCCAGTAGAAAGCATGAAGAAACATGCTCTCATTTTACAAGGAAGTATTTACTAAATAGCTAAGGTGGTTGGAAGAGAGAATGAGAAACAATTTAGTTTTGAGAGGAGATGGAAAGGGAAGACTGAGATTACTCCCTGGAGTGGGACACTCATTAACCAAACACGTGGTCACTGAGCATCTTGTGTGCACATTCAACACTGATGGAACTAAAGAAGCCAAGTTATTCCCTACCTCTGAAGCACTTCAAATCAAGAATTAGTTAACTACCCAAGATATCGCATGTCAGTTACTGGTGCAGACCTCGCTAGAGGGAGGGAGGAGGGGCTGCATGTGATATTCCCACCTGGAACAGACACACATAGAGCATTAGACTTGAGAGAGCCTGCAGGCTCATTACTTTCATGGAGAATTAACATTGTGGGAGAGGTCCCAGGCAGAACATCACTGCATGCTTACAGATTCTGTGACAGCTGGCGAGACCATCATATGGGAAGAGACCACTAAAGAGGGGATAAGCCTTCTTGGAGGCAGGAGACCTGGCCTGGTTGAATCTTGGAGGATTAATACATTTCTATGTAATGAGAGGTACTTGCATTTTTAGCTGGTAGTCAAAAAAATACCTTGGGGTATTTCTCCCACTAAGTTTCTTTGTGTCTTAGACCTATCTTTGTATCCCCCACAGTGCTTGGCAAATGATAGAAGCTCTGTAAGTATTAGTATGTGGATTACAACCATGAAGCCAAGAGTAGTAGGCTAACATGTTTCTTTTCTTGTCACACCTGGGCAAGTGACTTAAAGTTCTCTATTGGCATTTTTATTCAGCTCCCTAAAACTGAAGAAAATTATTTCTGGAAGAGTCATATACATTTTGTTCATCTTTTTAGAGGCTTTTATCCTGAAACTCTTTGACTCATTCCTAAATGTCAAATAACTTAATTCTTCTAAAAGACAATTAACCATGCTATAATTTCTATTTCCAATACTTTTGTGGACAGTCATGAATTGAATTACCTCACTGAACCCTGGTCTGTCTGATAGCAGACAGAGGGCAGACCTTGTTGGTTAAACTGACAATGCAAAAAGCCCTCACACTTCTCAATTAACCCAGAAAAGGCACCAAAGGGTTTCTCACTTACTTCCTCTGACAGGTTCCCATTCATAAACTGTATTGCCAGGTGATTCACCAGTCTTGGGGGGATGCTGCGGTCCATCCTGTCCCCTATATGGGCAAGTTGCCTGGCGATATTCTGGATGATTTCATCTTGACTCTCAGAATCTGAATGTTCAGGAAGGAGCAGCAAAGACAAAGCAGACTCAGACATTGGTCCCGTTCTAAACCCTCATCCCACTGCACCCACCTTGGAGAAAGGAAGGAATTCTGCTTTAAAACAAAGCCAGCTCCCACTTCCACAGCACACCACAGCGGGTTGGGGGGGCGGGGAGAGAAGGGGGGAGTCCCCAGGGAATGGGCCTGACTGAGCAGAAGTCTGGCTGAAGAAGCAGACTTCTCCCTGAATACAGATTCAACATCTGCCCACAAAAAGGATCAGTGATGCTGTGGCACCCATGACTATGCGCACCTGAGGCATGAACCTGGCAACAGCCTTAAGGCTGCTAGTTCTGTATCCCATCATCTATCAGGTTTTAGATTCAGAAGTTGTTAGGACAGAGGCTCTGCAGTCAGACCGAGTTAGAGCCCTGGTCACGAGACCTTGACACATCCTCTCCTACCTTCCTCACGGGGCAGCTATGGGGATCACTGCTTTCCCCAGTCTTGTCTCACTCAGTAAAACCTCCGTCTTCACACAGACCTAGAAGGCTTTGTACAATCTGCCCAGCCTCTCTAACAGGAACTCTTCCCACTTCTCCAGCTACACTGGCCTCAGTAGAGAGCAGGCTTCTTCTTTAACTTCCTTGGGTCTACACAAATGCCACTCTGTCCAAGATCAAACACCACTTTCACTGCCACATGTCCTCTTCCACTCCCACCTTTACCTTCCTTGACACTCTCGATTGTTTCATACAGTTTATCTGTCTGTAGTCTTTGACTCACTTTCAGAATGTAAACTTCACAATGGCTCTGATTTTTTTCTACATTTTTTTCTTCTTTAAATCTTTATTGTTGAGAGTATTACAGATTTCCTCCTCCCCCCCACACCCCCTTTTTTGGTTCCCAACCTGCCCCAGGCCTTCACCCTGCTACTCTGTGTCCATGGGTAAGATCTTTGGTTAATCTCTTCCTGCCTCTCCTCTCCCCTTCCCTCTGAGATTCATCAGTCTGTTCCATGCTTCCATGCCTCTGGTTCTATTTTAGTCACCAATTTATTTCATTCACAAGATTTCTTGCTTGTTTATTTTGATTTTTAGATTCAGTTGTTGATATATATGTATTTGTTGCCATTTTATTGTTCATATTTTTTATCTCTTCTTCATAAACAATACCCTTCAACATTTCATGTAATGCTAGTTTGGTGGTGATGAACTCCTTTAGATTTTTCTTGTTTGTGATGCTCTTTATCTGACCTTTGCTGGGTAGACTATTCTTGGTTCTCGGCCCTTATTATTCATCACTTTGAATATTTCTTGCCACTCCCTTCTGGCCTGCAAAGTTTCTGATGAGAAATCAGCTGACAGTCATATGAGCGCTTCCTTGTAAGTAACTAACTGCTTTTCTCTTGCTGCTTTTAAGATTCTCTCTTTATCTTTTGCCCTTGGCATTTTAATTTGATGTGTCTTGGTGTGTCTTGACTTCCTCTTGTTTGAGACTTTCTGTGCTTCCTGGACTTGTAAGTCCATTTCTTTCACCAGGTAGGGGAAGTTCTCTATCATTACTTCTTCAAATAGGTTTTCAATATCTTGCTCTCTCTGTTCCTTCTGGCACCCCTATGATGAGAATGTTGGTACAGCCCTACCCGGTTTAGCTCAGTGGATAGAGCGTCGGCTTGCAGACTGAAGGGTCCCAGGTTCGATTCCGGTCAAGGGTACATACTTGGGTTGCGGGCTCGATCCCCAGTAGCGGGGCGTGCAGGAGGCAGCCAATCAATGATTCCCTCTCATCATTGATGTTTCTATCTCTCTATCTCTCTCCCTCTCCCTTCCTCTTTGAACTCAATAAAATATATTTAAAAAAAAAAAAAGAATGTTGGTACACTTGAAGTTGTCCCAGAGGCTCCTTGCACTAGCTTCATATTTTTGGATTCTTTTTTCTTTTTGCTCTTCTGATTGGATGTTTTATGCTTCCTCATATTCCATATCGTTGATTTGATCCTCAGACTCCTCTACTGTTGAATTCCTGTATATTATTCTTTTTTTTTTCTAAATATATTTTATTGATTTTTTACAGAGAGGAAGGGAGAGAGACAGAGAGTCAGAAACACCGATGAGAGATAAACATCGATCAGCCGCCTCCTGCACATCCCCCACTGGGGATGTGCCCGCAACCCAGATACATGCCCTTGACCGGAATCAAACCCGGGACCCTTCAGTCCGCAGGCCGACGCTCTATCCACTGAGCCAAACCGGTTTCGGCTGTATATTATTCTTTATTTCAGTTAATGTATACTTAATTTCTGACTGGTCCTTTTTCATGTCTTTGACTTTCTCACTAAGATCCTTGAAAGTCTCATGAAGATCCCTGAGTAACCTTATAACCATGGATTTGAACCCGTATCCAAAATTTTGCTTTCTTCCATTTGTTTCATTGTGACATGTTTCTTTGTCTCCTCATTTTGGCTGTGTTTGTTTCTATGTATTACATACAGCTGCTATGTCTCCTGGAGTTGGTAGAGTGGCTTGTGTAGCAGGTGTCCGGTAGGGCCCAGTGGCTCTGCCTCCCCAGTCACCTGAGCTGGGCACTCTGGGTGTCCCCCTGTGTGGGCTCTGTGCACAGTCTTGTTGTAGTTGAGTCTTGATTTCTGTTGGTGTCACTGGGAGTAATTGACCTCCAGGCCAGTTGGCTGTGAGGACCAGCTGTGACTACAGTGGGAAAGCTGCTGTGCAGGAAATACTCCTATGGAGCAGGACTTGCTTCAGTGGGGCTTTGGTGCTCACTGAATCTGCCCCTTGAGTGTGTTGCTTGTGGACATGTAGAGTTGAGGTCTGCTATGGTCTGATGTTGTCCACTGGGTGCACTGGTTCTAGTGCCTCTATCGAGGTGCAAAGTCAGCCACTGCCTGGGGCCACCCTGCAGGAGCTATTTGTTTTGGGCTTGGAGGTGCCCAGGGGAGACCCAGCTGTGAAGCAAGGCAGGCTTATGTTAGTGTAGGGTCTTGGACCCTTTATTGATAGGTTTGGGGCATGCTGCTCCAGCTGTAGCATGTTTGAGAGATTTTAGCAAAGTCTGAAGCCTGAGCCAGGACAGGCCATTCATATGCAAAAGCCACTGCAAACAGCTTGGGTAGGGCTGCAAATTGGATAGGGTGGGGTCTCAAGGAATCACCAGTGCAGAGGGGACAGTGTGGGACATGCTGATGGAAGCTCAGATATAGCTTCCAGTCAGCTCTGTGATGGGGGAGGTCCCAGCACAGAGACAATGACCACTGCAAGCACCTCTGTCTGGGAAAAAGCTGCTCCTGAGTTCCTGCCCTGATGCCAGACAATCCAGTTCCTCCTCCTATGTGTTTGGGTCCCCCAGAGCCTCATCCTGGCACTGGAGCTCAGAGGAAGCAGGACCTTGTAAGTTCAGTTCATGCGCCAGCCCTTTAAAAGGAACATCTGGGTTTCCAGCAGCCTCTGTGTCACTGAGCCCCAGTCCCCACTTGTTTCTACAGCTGTAGTTATGGGGACTTCTATTCCCAGCTCTGGAACCCTGGGGGTCTAGTGTGGGGCTGGGACCCCTTGCTTCTCCACAGGGACGATCTCTAATCTGACAAAAAAAAACACAAAACGGCCCACGTGGGTACTGTTCCAGCCCGTTCTGCACCTCTGCCCCTCCTACCAGTCTCAATGTGCTTTCTTCTTTACTTTTCTAGCTGGAGGACTTCCATTCAGCCAGCTTTCAGGTGGTTTTGAATGATGGTTGCTCTGTATTTTAGTTGTAATTTTGATGTGGTTGTAGGAGGCAGCGAGTACCGACATTTACCTATGCTGCCATTTTGGTTCTCTCAGGGCTCTGATTTTTTAATGTTTTGTTTATTGCCAAATATGCAGTACTGAGAACAATGCAAGGCACACAGAAGATGCTAAGTAAACAATTTTATGAATGAGTGAATGAGTAAATGAATGAACCCTGAACCTAGCTCCTAGTAAATTTTCAATAAATGCCAACTATTATTATTTCTCCAATTAAATCTTATACAGTGGAACTTCACTTCTTGAACTTAATTCGTTCCAGAAGGCTGTTCAAAAAGCAATTTGTTCAAAAACATCATTTTCCCCATTAGAAATAATGTAAATTGAATTAATCCATTCCAAATCCCCAAATCATTCCCTCTTTTAACCTACTCAATTGCCTGTGATCGATGTTTCCTTAGCATTTTCACACCCTTAGCAACATCAGCACTCTTGATGGCCTCTTTATGTTTTAAAATTGTGCTAATCATCGATTACAGTCTCTCCTCACTCCATTTTCACTGTCCTCCAGTCCACTCTCCACAGTGTACTTGGGCCAGCAAGGCACCTAGAGGTGAAGATGAGAGGGCATTAAGAGGAGTGAGTGCCTCCTTACATTTTGTGCCCTGGGTGTTTCATTTGCCTCACTGTGGCATTGACTGTGACACATGTAGTATCAATACGACATCACTTTCTTACTCAGAACTTGCCACATGCTCAACTCTGCTTCTTAAGTGACAAGTTACCACCCAGCCTTAAATCATCCTGAACTTCAATTATTCCCTTCAAATGCTCTAGCTCGGTGGTCGGCAAATTGCGGCTCGCGAGCCACATGCGGCTCTTTGGCCCCTTGAGTGTGGCTCTTCCACAAAATACCGACTTCTGCACATGGGCCACGAAGTTTCAATCGCACTGTACGTGCGCGCCCGCACGTGGTATTTTGTGGAAGAGTCACACTCAAGGGGCCAAAGAGCTGCATGTGGGTCTCGAGCTGCAGTTTGCCGACCACTGCTCTAGCTAAACTCAACTATTCACAGGACCTTTCCCAGGCCCTGGCCTTTTGATCTTCAAGGTTTTGCTTAAGCTATTGCCATTCCCTCTTCCCAATCTCCAGAGCAAAACTACACAGCTTCACAGCTCAGCTCAATTCCATTGCAGCCATGAAATTTCTCCTGATTTCCCACAGAGAACGGAGTACTCACCACCTTCTCCATAGCTCCCACAGCACTGACTCTGCCTCACTAATTTCCCTAGGTGTTCCCCGTTTCAGCAACTTCAGGAGTCATGGCTGATTCATCTGTGTGCAGCTGAGTGAATAAATTCACCATGAAATTTCTAGTGGCCAGAGCCTCTATTCTGCCCTTTTCTTCCAAATCTTGTCAGGTACTTAATCTACATGCAGAGAGTTTTCTACCAGAGGGAGAGGTTAAGTGTACAGCCCCATAATCAGTTTTGAAAATGCCATTTGAGTCAAGCCAGGCTTTCCAGTCTACAAGTAAGGGATGGTGCAGAAGAGCAAAGGAGAGCCCAGGGGACAGCCTCTAGCAGTAGTTACTCCTACTAGCAGTTTCTGCCAGCAAAGCCATTCCTGCCCCTCCCTTCCTAAACCTTCCCCAAAGGGTCCAGGTGCTCTTATTCCAGTTTAGGGCCAGAAGACATGCTAGCTGGATTCTAAGGCAGCTAACGTCTGGCACACCTTGGCTAGTGGGGAACTCTTACTACACACCCCTATCCACCAGCTTTGAGACAGAGCTAGGGATCCCAAGGCTGGATGGGCTGCTGGTCTCCCTCAAGGCCACCAGAGGGCAGTGCAAAAACCCAGAGATGTAAGGATAGCAGGATTTCAGTCCTGCTCCTAAGTAGGGAGGCTTGGGGTCTAGGTCCTTAGAGTCACCTTAGGCTTTTAAGGCAGTAAATCTAACCAGGGCTACACCAGAGTCTCCCACCCTAGAACACACTGGTTCAGGCAGCTGGAGTAGGGGCCAGGGACGAGGCATTTTGAAAAACTTTCTCTTGGAATTCCAATGTGCACACTACTGAGGGCTACTGTTCCCTAATCTGGGAATGGCTAAGCGCTCAACATGTTCCCCAGCCTTGCTCCCTCAGCCATCAGCTTGGGATCGTCTCCATCAGTGGAGGCAGCATCAGCAGTTAGCAAGAGTAAAAACTGAAGTTGGGGGACAGCACAAAGATATGGGTGAGAAAAGGTGAAGGAAGTCTGGAAACTGTAATGTACTCAGAGGCAGGAGCAACCATGGGAGGATGGGGCCCAGCTCAAGGAAAGAGGCCTGGACCGTCATTAGGGGCTTGTATTTACGCTTTTCTGGGCCTCAGTTTCCTCATTTGGAAATGAGATTCAGAATACTTCAGTGCCCCATCCTATCTAAGAAAAGAGAAACATGGTAATTAGCCATACCTCCGCTACCCTTCCCATTGGCTAATCAGGGCGATATGCAAATTAAATGCCAACCAAGATGGCGGCCGGCAGCCAGGCAGCTTGAAGCGAACAGGAGGCTTGCTTGCTTCAGTGACGGAGGAAGCCAACGTTCCCCACCTGCCTTGCCGGCCTCTGAGCTTGCAGTTTGAGAAACATTGTTACAAATATAGAAGCTAAACAAAACCCCAGAAACCTGCTTTGAGCCAGCCGGGCTTCAGCCAGCAGGACCGCAACATTGTTTCAATTATAGAACAAACGCAGATCCCTGCTTTCAGCCAGCCGGGATCTCAGAGCTGGAGTGAGCAGGACCGCAACAGTGTTACAATTATAGAACCCAAACAAACCAGATACCTGCTTTCAGCAGCCGAGGCCTCAGAGCTGGAGCCAAGCCTCAGAGCTAAAGCTGGCCCAGAATAAAAAAAAAAGAAAAAAAGGACAGGTTGGGAGCTTCAGTCACCTGCCAGCCTGAAAACGGCCCTCAGCCCCTCACCCAGACTGGCCAGGCACCCCAGTGGGGACCCCCACCCTGAAGGGGGTGTGACCAGCTGCAAACAGCCATCATCC